AGCACTGTCCTGGAGACCCGTGTGTGTGTGTGCAGCCCCCAGGAGCCCTGCCACCACCCCTGGCCCTGCCAGCCGCCCACCCTGGGCCGTGGACCCCTCGTTTGCCGAGCGCTATGCCCCGGACAAGACGAGCACGGTGGTGAGCAAGCACAGCCAGCCAGCCACGCCGACCCCCATGCAGAACCGCAGCTCCATCGTGCAGGCAGCCCAGCAAGCCCCCGAAGGGCCCGGCCGCACGCCCCTCTGCTACAAGTGCAACAAGGTCATCAGGTGAGCCCTGGCCACCACGACCACCGCCACGCCAGCGTCCTGGGCCCCAGCATGGCTGATGTGGCTCTGTCCCACTGCAGGGGACGCTACCTGGTGGCGCTGGGACATTATTACCACCCCGAGGAGTTCACCTGCTGCCAGTGCAGGAAGGTTCTGGATGAGGGCGGCTTCTTTGAGGAGAAAGGCTCCATCTTCTGTCCCAAGTGCTACGACACGCGCTACGCACCCAGCTGCGCCAAGTGCAAGAAGAAGATCACCGGGGTGAGTGTCCCTCAGCCTACCCCACACCTCCTGTCCTTGCTCCTCGTTCACCTACGGGTGCCTGGCTCTGGCCTGATCCCATCCCATGGGATCCCTTGTCCCTTTCTGCCCTGGGCAGGTCTTCCCTGCGTCGCAGGGTGGTCCTGGCCCCGGCTGACAGCGGTTCCCCTCCAGGAGGTCATGCACGCGCTGAAGATGACCTGGCATGTGCAGTGCTTCACGTGCGCCGCCTGCAAAACTCCCATCCGCAACCGTGCCTTCTACATGGAGGAGGGTCAGCCCTACTGCGAGAGAGGTAGGACCCAGGGACCCCCTGGGTCACCCCGCATGGCCCTGGGGCACCAGCCAGCACTGGGGCTCAGCAGCTGCCCACAGGAGTTGGGGGGTGAGCTGTCATGCACTGCAGGGCTCACCTTGTGCCGCGGGGAACACGGGGACCCCCCCCCACCCCGCAGCCCAGAGCCCTCCATCGCGGTCCTCCCTGGCTGCCGGGTAGTGCCATCGCTCCGGTGTTGCGCCATCACTCCCGTGTTGCCATGGCAATGACGGAGGATGTACATCAAAGGCGAGTGCTGCATCCTGGGAGATGAGGTTTACCTCCTCCCCGCGGCCCGTCGCTGCGGCACGATGGCGGCTGGGGCGACCCTGCGCGGCACAGGCGTCTCTCCCCGGTGTCTCAGGCATCGTCCCCCCAGGGGCTGGCTTTGAGTTGTCCCCGGGCTCTGCCTGTGGGATCCCGGCTGTGCTGCAGCCCTGCTCCCCTGGGACGAGGCGCTGCAGTGCAGGGGAACGTTGACCTGGGCTCTGCCTCTCCTCGCAGACTACGAGAAGATGTTTGGCACCAAGTGCCGTGGCTGTGACTTCAAGATCGATGCTGGGGACCGGTTCCTGGAGGCGCTGGGGTTCAGCTGGCACGACACATGCTTCGTCTGTGCGGTGAGCCATGTGCCTCCCTCCCTGGCTGCTGATGGGGGGCCTGGCAGTCATGCCCTGCGTGGGGTGCACCAGCAGCACTGGGTCCTTGCTGCAACAAGGATTTCCCCACTTGGCTCTGTGCTGGTGGGTCGGGACCCTGCTCTGAGCCCCCTGCTCTGAGCCTCCTGCTCCACAGCATCTGTGCAACACCAGTGCTGAGCCCTGGGCTGTGTAGAAGGACCTGGGGGCTGCCTCAGCCCCCCTGACCTGACCACCTGTGGTTGCCTCCTCAGATCTGCCAGACCAACCTGGAAGGGAAGACATTCTACTCCAAGAAGGACAAGCCACTCTGCAAGAGCCACGCTTTCTCCCACGTGTGAGGGGTGGGAGTTCAGCTGTGCCCACGCATGTCCCTGGCCCTGCATGTTCCTCTCCCCCCCCACCCTGCTGCCCCCAGGGAGCCAGGCTGGGCCCTTACCCCTTCCCTGTGCTTCTGCCTCTTTCCTGGCAGCTCCTGGCCCGGCTCCAGCCAGAGGCGGTGCTGGGTCCAGAGCCCCTTATAGCTGGGTGGCTTCTTTGCCCCCCTCACTGGCCCTAAGAGCCCTGGGAAGGGGACACTGCATGGGTCTCCTGCCCCCGAGCCACGCAGCGTGATGGCCAGGCTGTGCCAAGGCTGGAGGTGGGGAGGGTCTGGCACTGCAGGGCTGCTCCCTTGCTCAGCTGGGGCCTGGCTGCCTGGTACCTCAGTGCCCAGGACAGAGATGCTCCGAGCACATCCCTGAGTGGGTGGGGACCAGCCCCCTGCCCGGTTCTCCCCCACGTTCCCTGCTGCGTGCTTAGTGCATAGGGCTGGAGACCCAGCCCTGCTCCCCT